GCGGGGAGCGTCTTCATCCTCCTCCAGCTGTGCGGGGAGCGTCTTCATCCTCCTCCAGCTGTGCGCCCTGAGACCGTTGGTTTACGCACAGCCTCTCCACACAGCTCTGCAGGACGCGCGCACAACTGCTGTGTCGGAACCCCTTCATACATTACAGTGCATAACATTTCAGACATAATAAATAAGCTTAAAGTAAAAATAAAAAAAAAAAACGAGTGAAATGTTTGATGTGCATTACATCAAGTATCAAAACAACGGCACTAATTAGTCAAAATAACAGCGATCAAAATGTTGAAAAGACAATTTATCTAAAATAAATGGATGGATGGCAGTGAGGCTGGAGCAGAACACACAGGACTGAATTCAGCTGAGAAGAGTTCAGGTCAGCAGTGTGTGTGTGTGTATGTGTGTGTGTGTGTGTGTGTGTGTGTGTGTGTGTGGGGGGGTGTTAGGACACCTGACAGACTGTCAAGGACATGCATTCATACACAGGCATAGTAATTTCAATTCAACCTTTATTTATACAGGTTTAGCCTTGAGCCTCGTCAAGAGAGACCTGTTTTTAACCAGTTTATTCAAATGTTTAACAACCTGTTAAAATACACCAAAATGCAGGAAATGGCATCTTTTATTCCAATTTTTCTGGGGGAGGACACACGGAGCCTATATTTAAATATATACTATATTACACCACTAGATGTCACTGAAATGAACCTTTGAATGAATGAACCCAAGTTCAATACAATTGGCAAAGTGGTTCAATACTGCTTTATTGCTTCATTTGGCCATCACTAGTGGTATCCAGACAAGGGCAAGACAAGGCGAGGAGTCGAGAACAAAGCTGTGGTCATGAACAAAGAAACTATGGACGAGGACTGCTGGATAATTTACTTGCTGTGAGGCTTTCAATAATCTGGCACCTTGCTGTGGCAAGAGTTGAGTTTATAAGGGCTGGCACCAGGTGTAGAGCATAAGCACTGATTACTGTGATCAGGGAGGATCAGGCAGGCAGGCTGCACAGGGTTGATTGACAGGCAGCTAGAAATGACAGAGGGGAACTGGCCAGAGTAGAGCATAAACCCAAAGCTGATCAGAAGAGCAGAACAAGATAAATGTGTGGCAGGGGTCAAAACATGACAACAGCATGAAATATTAACAACAAGATATTACAGCAACATGAATAAAAGCATAAAAACATGAAATATAATGAGAAACAATGAAATACTAAATCAAATCACCCTGCGTTAAATGTCAGGGAGTAAAAGCAAAATGGATGAACACAATCATCAACAACAAAATACCAAATGAGATCACACTGTGTTAAATGTCAATGATGTGTTTTGAGGAGAGATTTAAAAATAGAGACTGAGGTGGCCTGTCGAATGTTGATGGGCAGATTGTTCCAGAGTTTAGGAACCATGACTGAAAACACTCGATCTCCTCTGAGCTTCAGCTGGTTTTTGGTACGGCCAAAAGCAGCTGGTCTGATGATCTCAGGCCCGAGAAGGAGTATAAGGATGAAGGAGGTCGGAGAGGTATGACGGTGCAAGGCCATTAACACACTTAAATGTCAGCAGAAGAATCTTAAAATCAACTCTGACACGCACAGGAAGCCAGTGAAGAGAGGACAGAACTGGAGTAATGTGCTCAAACCTGCGAGTTCCTGTTAGTAGCTGAGCTGCAGCATTTTGGACAAGCTGGAGACGTGAGAGAGAGACCTAACTGACCCCAGCATAAAGCAAGTTACAGTAGTCCAGCCGGGTTGTAATAAATGCATGGACTTATTTTTCAAGGTCGGATCTGAACAGGACGGACTTGAGCTTAGCTATCTGCCTTAGCTGAAAGAAGCTTTTTTGAAGAACAGAATTTATCTGCTTATTAAACTTAAAGTCCGAGTCTAAAACTATCCCGAGATTGAAACAGACTGTTTTAGATATGGCTGAAGGGAGTCCAGGTTTGCAGGATAAGTGACAGTGGCAGAGCTAGGGTTAAACACAATGACCTCAGTCTTCTGATCATTAAAGCCCCCAGTATACTGCCGCGTACATCCATACGCAGAGGTACGCACGTACGTACGCAGAGGTACGTGCGTACCCCCCAGCGTACCCTCCGTGCAAAGCTCAAATTTTTACGACCACATACGCGTCTCACAGTAAACTGCCCAGCGACGGGCTGTTTTGTATGCAACACCAATGTATTACATTCCCCTTCTTCATCCCTGATCTGGCCTTTTCTTTTGTTTTTTTCCTCCTCCGTTGATGCCATGACTGAAATGGAGGAATTTGTCACGAGCGAATAAAACTCAGGTCCAGTGTGGCTGCGGGAGGTTCATGAGATTTCCTGGTGGGCTGGTCTGATGTGTGGGCTGTAGAGCCAGCTCCAATGACCGGAAGCCCAGCCGTGGCGAACAGGTCCACTGTGGAAGCGCGACCCGACCCGTGGGACCGGGAAGGACTCAGGTGGATTGGCGCAGCGCCAGGACAGGTGATTTAAGATGTGTTCCTCGGTTGAAGAGGAAGCCGCAGCAGCAGCAGCAGCAGCCCAGCAGGCTTTGATCCTCACAAGACGGCCGACCCGTTTTCCACGGTGCCTGGAGCGATGTCTTCGAGCGGGTAGGATACCACGGCAGAGGTAAACAGGAACGTCTTCAAGCAGAGGTGGGGGTCCAAGAGGGCGTCCAAAGTTACGATCATTATGATCAAACAAAGCGAGACTGGTGGCAGATAGTCGGAGATTTAGGAGTTGATGACGTTCATAAACCAGCAGTGAGTCAATGTTGTAGGTGAAAAATGACAAAAACAGAAAAAACACAATCACTGCAGAGTATGTAGTGTAAAGTAAAGTAAGTTATTTCAATATAACTGCACCTTTATAACAATTTACATTTTTTAATTACTAACTTCACAGACTATCATAAGGTAACTTTTGCTGCTAGCAATATAAGTTATTGAATCATACAATAAATACCTCAGGAATGTCAGGCTGATTGACATTTGTGTTCATCAGTCCAATCTTCCACATCTGCTCTGGACTCAGGTTTCCTTCAGTTCTGAGTGGATGATGGTTCCAGCCTTCTGCAAATATCTCCATGTCTGTCTGAAGTCTGGGAAGAATGATGTAGTGCACACAGAACAGGTCGTCGGTTGATGAGATGTCCAGGAGTCCATCTGTCTCCAGGGAGTGCAGCAGCTCATAGTATTTGTTCGTAACTATGACATCTCGCCACAGCCGCTCAATCCTGTGGATATCAATATAGTGTTAATGGATACAACAGCTTGTATAAGCCTGGTGAAGACTATGAGTGCAGTCACTGGCACTGTAAGATGTAGTCCAGGGGTGTCAAACTAATTTCCACCGAGGGCCACATCAGCATAATGGTTGCCCTCAAAGGGCCAGATGTAACTGTAAGACAGTAATAAATGTAGCTAAGTTTAACTAAATGTAATGTAAAATAAATGCAACTACTCCTTAAAGCCCCAGTAAACTAGGGTGGACATTTTTACGCACGGACTCGACGTGCACTGTTTGCAGAGGGTTGAGACTTCATACTCGATCGTGCACCCTGAGCGGCTACAGTCAGCTCTGCAGGCAAGGGGCGTTTACCTTCGGGAAAAATTAAGGTCGCTGATTGGTCATTTGCTGACACGCCTACTGGAATGATTGACAGGTCGCAAAAATAAATAAATATGAGAGCTGACAGCCCAAGCCACAGCGGTGTTCTGCGTTTATTTGTTGCTAATAAAAAGTTCTAAAAAAAACTGGGAGCGCTGGCCCTGCAGCCCACATATCAGACCAGCCCACCAGGAACTTTCCAGACACTCTCGCAGCCACGCTGGACCTGATTTTAATTCACTCGTGACAAATTCCTTCAGTTCTCACCATTTCAGTCATGGCGTCAATGGAGGAGGAAGAAGAGATCACTTGCCTTTTGGGGGAAAAAACAAAGGAAAAGGCCATTAAACCAGATCAGGGATGAAGAAAGGGAATTTAATACATTGGTGCAGTTTATTGTGTGACACCACACCGAGTGTGCGTACACGGTCGTAAAAATTGAGCTTTGCACGGACATGCCCTGCGGAAGTGCGCTTCGACTCTATTGCAATATGCAATAAACCTCCGCAGACTCACATATGCCCGAGTATACTGGAGCCTTTAATGTTAAATAACTCTTTTTTTTTACTTATTCAACTTACAAATATTACATGTATATACTGTATTTATGTAGATGTACAAAAATATGTCAGCTTGTTGCTCTGTTATAACATAAAACCTTTTGTCAGGTTATGAAATCCACATTACTCCATAAATCAATGATCAAACTTTCTAAATGAATAAGGAAAAATAACAAGTTATGACATTAACTTTGGTCAATTTTTTTTTTCTGCAGTCCTAGCTGTAAGCTGACCTCTTGACTTGTTTACTGTGTGACCTTCCTGCAGATAAGACAAGACTTGATGGCCAATGGAATCAAGGTTTATCCCCAGAGGGAGTACGATGAGGATCCAGAGGAGCGCACCCTCAATGACCAGATCAGGGTATGATTTCCACTAGGAAAACTGTCACAAATAAGTTTCACTGATTATAGAAGAGCAGCACGGTGGCGCAACTGGTAGAGCTGCTGCCTCTCAGCGAACAGGTCCCTGGTTCAAACCCCGGTCCAGGTGCCTTTCTGGGTGGAGTTTGCATGTTCTCTCCGTGCTGCGTGGGTTTTCTCCGGGTGCTCCGGTTTCCTCCCACAGACCAAAAACATGCATGTTAGTCTGAATGGTAACTCTAAATTGTCCCTAGGTGTGAGTGAGAGAGTGAGTGGTTGTTTGTCTCGTTTGTCTCTATGTGTCCCTGTGATGGACTTGCGACCTGTCCAGGGTGTACCCCGCCCCTCGCACAGTGATTGCTGGACATGGGCACCAGCGACCCCCGTGACCCAAAATGGAATAAACGGGTAAAGATAATGGATGGATGGATGGATGAGCCCAACTTTAGAGAAGTCCATAAACACTGAACTGTTTGGACCATCAATACCGAGTTGGTTTAATACCCAGTCACTCAACATCTGTTGCCATAAAGACAAAAATATGCAGCTCACAGTGATACTGTCAAACTCTAACTGGTTCTGTGTCCAGGAAAACATTCCCTTTGCTGTCGTGGGAACGGACAAGGTGCACCAAGTGAATGGAAACAAGGTTCTGGGCCGTAAAACAAAGTGGGGAATCATTGAAGGTAAGGTTTCAGTTTCACGCCTGCTTTAAGGATTTAACAGCCACAGTAAATCCATTACGATCCAATGGTTGGCAGCAATCCTAGCAGCTGCACCAATACAGGCAAAAATGGTTTCTGAAGAAGGCAGTTCATAATGTGTGGGATTGGTTTTTAGAGGTTTCTTTTCCCAAAATATCAAGTCTTGACAATACTCTTCATAAAAAAAAAAATCACAATTTTTGCATACAATTTTGCATAATATATTTGAAATATATTTAGAAAATTTTCTTACATGAACTTCTGCTGGGAAACATCCTGAGTCTGCAGGTTCAAGCCCAGGTTGTGTCACGGACGCATTCAGCATATATTTTGAGTTGTTCATATACAAATTTACAGCTTCTTTAGGAGATAGATGCTATGACTTTTGTTGTCTGTAACATTTATCCTTTTATGTATTAACATTTATTTAACCAAGCAAATCCCATTGAGATCACATATCTCTTTTGCAAAGGAGGCCTGAAGGCAGCCTAACATGCATGTTTTTGGTCTGTGGGAGGAAACCGGAGTACCCGGAGAAAACCCACACAAACACGAGAAGAACATGCAAACTCCACACAGAAAGACCCCAGGTCCAACCGGGGATCGAACCCAGGACCTTCTTACTGTGAAGCAACAGTGCTAACCACTGAGCCATTGTGCTGCTTTTCAAATTTGATTATTTTCAAAGATTTTTGCATAGAGAAATATTAAGATCTCTTCAGTTCCATCAGAAACATTTATTCTTTGTGCTTCAGCAAACTGCTTCTCTTCTGTATTCTTAAGCTACTTTTAGAGTTTAGCTACCATTCTGTTACTCTTGCAGTTAACTAGACTTTTGTAACATTTAGCTTTTCAGTTCAACGTAGTTTTATATAGCGCCAAGTCACAACTGAAGTCGTCTCAGGGCACTGAACAGAAACATTCATATATAAAATTACATCATTATCTGAGGAGCAGACTGTTTTGAGTTTAACTCCATCACAGTGTAGCGGTAAGAGTTATTTAATAGTTAAATTCGTCATGAATTTTATTTTCAAGGGGCACCACTCTCAGCTCTGAGAGAACTCTGAAAGTCTGAAAATCAATTCAGATTATTATTTAATTACCTCGAATTACTCTTTTACACCGTGAGTTCTTTTATATGAAGGATTCAGATGTCATAAGTAAAACACACACGCTTTAATACAATTTTGTGATGTTTATTTAACTATATACGATAAACAACTGTTTGCAATTATTTCTGACATTTAAAATGAAGACTTTGGTCCCAGCTGGGGTTAGATGGAAATTAAGTGACCGTCAAAATTACTGGTTAGCATGGATTAACAGATAAATGAAATTATTCTATATGCTTCATCAAACCAGAAATAAGATGCAATGTAGAACAATTTTGTTATTTCATCAGGGCAGATTATTTATGAAATTTTACTAAAAGAAATACGTTTTATCATTCAATAGTTAAAATTTGGTCTGAAATTTAAAGAAAAATAATTACTGAACTGAGTTAATCTCATTTGGTTAAAATCTAAATTCTTGAACACCAGAGTCAACCGTCAGAGCATCAGATCAGCTGTTCCTACCAGGAGTCGTCTTCAAAGGCTGCCAGAGACACCAGATATTTGACTCTGTATGATCCGATGGTCTGCTGATGTAAAGTTGTAATCCTTCACATCCCTGGCCTCAACACGATGAGTCTGTTCACTGGCTCGAACGGTCAGCCTGGAGCGTTTCCTGGAGTTCTGGACAGCTGTTGTTAACTCTGTGATGAAAACTGCAGGTGTTTGGATCACTGAAGAGGATTCTATCAAACTTCGCCCAAAGTTGAAGCTAATTTTCTCCTTGGAAGTCTTCTGAAGGTTGTGTCTTAAAGCTTCTCATCTCCTCCTCGGGAGGGCTTCATCACTTCATCATCATTTTTCTTCTTCTGTCTCTCCTTTCTGAGAGGTCTTCCTCTCTTGTAAAACCACTGACCACACCTCTGATTTGAAAGAGGTGGTCGATTTGAACCAATCAGATTGAAAGGGCTGAACTTTTATCCACTAAATAAAGTATTTTAATCTGCTCTGTTGATAAAGTCATCAAATAAAATCATTTAAGACACTTATCAACTTTAAATGAGGTTAAACAATACAAACACTTTGTCAGCCTTATAAACAGAAAACAAGTTAGTAAACTTTTGGCCTACACAGGTTATTGTCAGCTGTTAGAGAACAACAAGGCAGTTATTTAGTTATTCCCAGTAAACAATTCTTTCATCACAGAGAAACAGTATTAATTCTCCTAGAATGTGAATAAAAAGTCTGTCCGTTTTCTTGCATGCTAGAAATGGGACCCAAGTGTCAAAGCTGGAATCCCTTTGAACAGAGACGAAGCTTTCTGTTATTTATGATCGTTGATGGGATAGTCTAAATGGAGGCTGGTACAAGTTGATACCAGGACATGCTGGGTGATCTGTGTTAACTCAAACGTCCATTTTGTGGGGTTCACAGAAAGGGTGTTCCAATATTATTCAGATTTATGGATCCTTGGATTGTCTTACCAACCATAAAAGTCTTATTTTGACACTTTCCAGAGTTAGAGATGCTGAAAACAAACTTTAAACTGTCCCAGATTCTGAAGTGGGGGTGAGGTGGGATGTCTCAGTTGTTCAAGGGATGAAGAGTTTTTCTATTTCAGAACCATCTTTACAGAATGAACTGCTCAGTCACAGAAATAAAAGGTCTGTTACAAAATGACATTCAGGGACGCAGGTATATCTCTACAACAGAACTCTCATCTTGAGCAAGCATGAAGGTGACAGTGGAAAGGAAAAACTCCCTCGTGAGGAAGAAACCTTTAGCAGAACTAGACTCAGGACAAGCGACCATCTGCTTCGACCAGCTGGGTTTGTAGGGACAGATACACAATGGCAGGTCAAGAATCATAGGTTAAGATAGAAATAGTCCATCCATCCATCCATCCATTTTCTTTACCCACTTATTCCATTTTGGGTCACGGAGGTCGCTGGTGTCCATGTCCAGCAATCACTGTGCGAGGGGCGGGGGACATCCTGGACGGGTCGCAAGTCCATCACAGGGACACATAGAGACAAACGAGACAAACAACCATTCACTCTCTCACTCACACCTAGGGACAATTTAGAGTTACCAATCAGCCTAACATGCATGTTTTTGGTCTCTGGGAGGAAACCGGAGCACCCGGAGAAAACCCACGCATGCACGGAGAGAACATGCAAACTCCACCCAGAAAGGCTCCTGGACCGGGGTTTGAACCAAGGACCTGCTCGCTGAGAGGCAGCAGCTCTACCCGTTGCGCCACCGTGCTGCCAAGATAGAAATAGTATCAAATAAAATATTCAATTTTAACAATTTATTTAAGGAAATGAGGTTGATTTGTCCTTTATTAGTCTAAGTTTTAGGAAGCATAACAAGCCAACTTTTTTTTTTTTTTTTTTTTTTTAAGTCTTAAGCCCAGTCTTAAAATTGGACAATGTGTCAGCCCTACAGACAAACTGGAAGTTGGTTCCACAAGAGAGGAGCCTGATAACTGAAAGATCTTCCCCCCCATTCTGCTTTTGGAAACTCTAGGGACCACAAGTAAACCTGCAGCCTGAGAGCAAAGTGCTCTGTTAGGAAAATCTGGAACAATAAGATCTGTAATATATAAGATAGATGACCCATTCATTCAACCTTTTAACAGATAAATCACATTGAGCCTCAAAGACTCATTTACAAGTGAGATCAGTTTGGACAAACAAAAACAGTGGTAAATTGGACACATGTAGGAGTTGGAGGTGAAAAAAAAATTCCTATCAGACTTTTTTTTCCCCTGCCTGAGGGAAAAAAAAACCTCCAATATTTAAAAAAAAACCACCACACAAGCAAGCACATATTTACGTAGACAATCTGCAGACGGGGGTGACGAGAGCGGTCAGCAATGTTCATAGATGCTCTCGAGGTCACTGTAAGAGTTCTCTTAGGATGGAATAATCAGTCAATGTCCTCCGGTGAGATCCATAAACATTCTCGAGGTATGTCGAGGAATGGCCAAGAATAATATGAGAATCCAAGAGTCCTGAAATGATGACAAGTTTATTCAGCGGGGTTTCATCTGGTGAAGAGTTGGAAATTCCTCAGGGAGGGGGTGGTGAACGTCAGATCACATGTTCTCCAGGTGGATTCAGATAAGATGGTCTTCAAGGCCAGCCATGGGAGCCAAATTCAGATAAACACACAGTTGTTTTGGGGACAGGCAGAACTTCATCTACCTTGAGTCTGTGTTGATTGACTCGGTTACTAAATGTCCAAATTTCATGACCGCACTGATGGAACGTGACTGAGTAAAATCCCCAAGATCTGATCCATTCAGCCCAAAGCATTTGAGTCTGGGTACTCGAGACACGAACCAAGCCATCATAAAGGCAAGCAGCATGATCGAGTTTAAATTGGCTGCTGACAACTTCCTTGATTGTAGATAAAACCAGCAGCCAGCCAAATCCAAAAAGCAGGAACCAGTTATCATAAATCCAATTAAATATGAGTCCTTAAAATCCACAGATGGCAGAGAGACACATCATCAAGTCTTCAAGTCGATGAGATATCCAGCTGCGTGCGTGCCAACAGGGCAAATCGGCTCGCCTAAAGCCTGTCTTCTCTTCGAAGAAGTGTTGTAAATTGAGTTGAGGGACCAACTGATCAAACCAAGTCCATAATTATGATTTGGAATAAATGCAAGAGAGTCTCAGAAGCAGTTTCACAGACAGACAGAGCAGCAAAGCAAAGCGGAGAGGGAGGGGAGAAGCAGCCGATCTTGGCGAGAGCAAGTGGTGAAGTAAACCAGATTTACGGATTTGAACCAGATCACCAACAGGAAGGTTTAAAAGATTTATTGATAAACAGTTTCTGGTGGAGGTCTGAGTCCTTGGGCCAGCACGATCTGAAGAGACAGGAAGGTTAGTGAATTGAGTTCAATGGCTTTGGTTTGTTCAGTTTATAAAACACCAACCTTTGTAAACAGGTGAGAGAGGATTTCCTTAGAGTTGGATTGTGTGATGTCACTGGAGAAGGTGAGCTGGTTTTGAGGCAAAGCTGAGCTTGAAGCAGTTAGGAGGAAGATCCAAAAGACAGGTCCAGGGAGACAGGCGAGGGTCATGCACAGATGATCAGAAATCTGAAACCAGACTTGAATCGTGATCTGGTAAACGTGGTCGTTGTAGAGAAGGCAGAGGTTGTTACCATAAGCAGAGTAGATACTCCAAAACAAGCAGGGGATGGTCAAGATGGGCAATTCATAAGACAGGTATGAAGTCAGAACCATGAAGACAAACAAAACTGTAGCATGGACACTGGACATTTACTCACTGTGAGGCTTTCAATAATCTGGCACTGAGTAGTGTGGCTGTGGGGTTTAAATACAGGTGACAACAGGTGAGCTGCATGAGGGCTGATTGTGGGGACTCAGCTGAGTGGGCGTGGTTACATGAGCAGACTGAGGTGCAAGTTGACAAGAGCTGAGATGAAACAAACATGAACAGGAACTATGGCAAGCAGAAAACGTGACAATAGACCTAGGTTGTTGAGAGCTTTGTAGGTTAGAAGTAAGATTTTGAATTCAATTCTAGACTTGACAGGGAGCCAGTGGAGAGAAGCTAAAACTGGAGAGATATGATCTCTCCCAGTAACTCCAGTTAAGACCCTGGCAGCAGCATTTTGGATTAAATGAAGACTATTTAAACAAGTATTTGGACACCCAGATAATAAACCATTGCAATAGTCCAGTCTAGACGTGACAAATGCATGGACCAGTTTTTCTGCATGTTTTTTAGAGTCAGAGTCAGAGTCAGAGTTTCTTTATTGTCATTCGCACCTCATGTGGTACATGTGGTGGAGCGAAATTATGTACACAGGGTCCCAGTTACATCCAACAATAAAATGTATAAGAAAAACAGTAATAACATCTAAGATATGAACTAAGAAAAACATCAACTAAATATACACTAAGCACTCATAACATAAAACATTGAACATCAGCACAAACATGAACATGAGTCTGTGAGCAGATGTGCACGCATGAACACATCAACATTGAAACAGATCAGCAGCAACATGAAACAGATCAGCAGCAACATGATATGGTTTTTCACAGTGATTATTCTAGTTAGAGATTCATGAGTCTAACAGCCTCAGGGTAGAAGCTGTTCCTCAGTCTAGTGGTTCTACACTTAATGCTCCTTAACCTCCTTCCTGAGGGGAGTGGGGCAAAAAGTGTGTGTGCTGGGTGGGTGGGGTCCTTCATGATGCAGGTGGCCCTCTTCCTGCATCTGGAGGTGTAGATGTCTGTGATGGTGGGGAGACTGACTCCAACAGATTTCTGTGCAGCCTTCACCACTCTCTGCAAAGCTTTTCTTTCTGCAGCTGTGCAGCCTCCATGCCACACATTGATGCTGGAGCACAGGATGCTCTCCACTGCACACCTGTAGAAGGAGGTGAGGACTGAGCTTCCCAGACCAGCTCGCCTCAGCCGTCTGAGGAAGTAGAGTCTCTGATGAGCTTTCTTGATCAGGCTGGTGGTGTTGTTGCTCCAGCTGAGGTTGTCATTCATGTGTACACCCAAGTACTTGTAGCTGGAGACCACTTCCACCGCAGATCCTCTTATGTTCAGGGGGGTGTAGGTGTTTTTGTTCCTTCTGAAGTCCACAATCATCTCCTTTGTCTTCTTCACATTGATGTGAAGGTTATTCTCTCTGCACCAGCTCTCCAGGTGTTCCACCTCCTGCCTGTAGCTGGACTCATCATTGTTTGTGATGCATCCCACCACCGCTGTATCATCTGCAAACTTTACAATGTGACAGCCTGGATGGGTAGCTGCACAATCATATGTGAGCAGAGTAAACAGGAGGGGGCTCATCACACATCCCTGAGGAGAGCCAGTGCTGAGGGTTATGGTGGAGGAGGAGAGGTTGTGGATCCTCACTAACAGACAAGACAAGATGACAAGTCTTCTTAGTCCATCTTAGACAAGATGTTTCTAATTTTAGCAATAATACACAGGTGGAAGAAGGCAGTTCTAGTAACGTTTTTAATGTGGAGGATAAAAGACATGTCCTGATCAAAAATAACACCAAGATTTTTAACATTAGAGCAGGAGGACAGATTAATGCCATCCAAGGAGGGCAAAAGACTGACAAATTTATTCCTAAGGTGCTCAGGTCCAAAAACGTTGGTTATGTAATGTAACCCCAGATTCTATGAGTATAGGTGCAGCCCTTTAAGGCTATTGCTAGTGGGTTTATCCCGTCGCGTGCTGCGCAGCACTGAAAACTGTAATCTACGCCCACCGGCTGTGTGGGCCCCACCCCCGGTCCGTATAAATTACGGTAAGACCGGGTAATCGGCTCCCAAATAGCTTTTTTCTTCAGCCATTTAGGAACCAGTGAGGCCCAGAGCTTAAAGGGTTATGCCTATATTCATAGAATCTGGGGTTACAGTACGTAACCAACGTTCTATTTCATATAGGCTTCGCCCTTTAAGGCTGTCACTAGTGGGTTAAAGGTGAAGCAGGATGTAGTCTATGTCTCACTGGGTCCACCCAGACACAACATGAAGCACCTGCTTGCACAAAAAAACATTTCATCACTCAGCTTTCTGTGTGCGTAATTACATGCTGCGTAATTGCATGCTCCATGTGCAGGAGCACACCGGAGAAAAGATCTCTGGTGAGGAAAAAGGCTGAGATAGCAGACCTGCTGCTGTGAATAGGAACAATGGAGGATACGAACTGTAACAGAGCAGACCAACAGCTCCTCAGGATGAACCGATTAATAACAATAAAATTAGCAGTCATGAACTTGTGACTGATAATAAATATCTCACACTGCGACTGCATGCAGGCAGGTGTGAGCTCAAAAGTGAGGCTCCATGAAACAAATAATAATCAAATAATAATCATTCTGACAGAACCCTGAGAACAGAATGGGTCATGGAGAAAGTAGAAACATCACGTAGATAAAAACTAATAATTGAACATGGCGATGACCAGGCAGCCACCATATAAATATTCTCCACCGTCATCCCTCCATGCAGAGCCATGGAGGATCAAAACCCTCTGGTGGAATGCGCTGAGATTCTCTGGAGGATCCAGTCCAGATGAACTGTAAACCCTGACTGAAACTCTTCAAACAGATTATTTCTTTGTAGATGTTCACACAACTGTCAAGCAACTATTTTCTCTAGAATTTTTGAGATGAAAGTTACAATGAAAGTTAAGAGACAAATTAAGCAGATCCAAGACTTGGTTATTAATTAGTGGAAATACCTCTTTAAATAGCCTAGTTGAGATGGGATCTAGCAGACATGTGGATGGTTTGGATGAGGTTATTATTTTTGACAATTCAGAGAGATCAACACAACAAAAACTGTCCAAACATAAATCAGGTTCTAGTGAAATTTTTAAAGTTGCCTCATTTGACACAGAACTAGAGGCGATAGCAGGAATGTTGTTTTGATTTTTTTTCCTTAACTGAAACAATTTTATTTATAAAGAATCTCATGAAGTCATCACTACTTATAGCTGTAGGGATACATGCATCAACAGAGATATCTGGCTAGCTAGATATCTAGACAGACAGACAGACAGACAGACAGATAGATAGATAGATACATTTTTTGCTACTTTTATCTAGTGTTTTCCTGCTTATAGCTAGATTTGATTGCTTTTAACTTTTAGCTAGCCTTTGGCTTCTAGTGTTTTGCTGATTTTAGCATTAAGCTAGTCTTTTGATGCTTTTAGCTAGTTGTTTTTACTACTTTTAGCTTTAAGTACCCCTTTTGTTACATTTAGCAATTTCTTTTACTACTTTTGACTGCTGGCATTTTTTTCCCTTTCTTTTTAGCTTTTAGCTAGTGTTCGGCTTCTTTTAGCTAATTCAGTAAATATGAGTAATTTCATTGTTGGATAAACTCTTACTCACTAATATTTACTCAAAAGAAGCACACTCAACAGCAGGGGAAGAGTTTTAACCAGTATTTTATAGTTGAAAGGTCAGGACAGTTTACATAAGTATACAAAAAATGTATAAATATTAAGATCAGTCACAGAAATGAGCCACTAGCCACATTATCTGCTCGCTTTTATACTCTTCTCAGCTCAGAGTTCACAGACTTCAGGAGTCCTTGATGCCACCTTCTTGCAGCACAAACATTTTCATTCATGTTCATGGGCATAGGGTCTTGGCTTTTGTCTTTTGTCTTGTTTTGGGCTTCATGTTCTCAGGGCAGAGGGGAAGAATGTTCTCAGCCATAATAATAAAAACATCCATGTCCTTTAACCAAAGATTCTCTGACAGTCTTTCAGCCTTCACACGTCTGTGCATAGGCCAGAGTTCAAAACGACCAGAGGAACATTTATTGTTGTCATGGGTTTGGTTTGGCTGAATGTTCACAGTGGCAGCTTTTTAAATCCAAAAATTGAAATAATGTATTTATTTTCCCCGCAGTTGAAAATGTGACACACTGTGAATTTGCCAACCTGAGAGATCTGCTCATCAGGTGAGTCTGACTGTTGCTTCTCTGGGTTAACGAAATTTAAAATTACTGTTTTGTGACAGATATCCATAAAAACTTCATAGTTCAGAGTAATGACTTTAGTTCCTGCAGAATAGGTTCAGGTTAGGTTTATTTGTCATATGCAAAATCAACACAGGGTCAACAATGCAATGAAATGCTTAGGACGAGAAGAACCGTCTCTAATCGCCAAAAAACCACCAACAACAATAAAAATCAAAGCATGCAGCAAAAATACTAAAAAAATATAAAAAATACTACTAAAATACTAAAAAACATGGCGCCAAAGTTGAAAAAGAAATACATCTGCAGTGTGGTTTGGTTAGCAGTGAGGTTCTTTCAGCATCATGGTTCTGTTCTGTTAGCGGCGTGGTCTTGTTAGCAGCTTACCAGGTCTTGTTAGTAGGTCCTGTTGGATCAGCAGCTTGATGGTAATAAGGACCGCAGCAGCTGCCCTCACAGACCGCAGTCCAGAACCGGGTCCGGCAGACAGAGAACATCCCAGGTTTCCCCACAGAACCAAACGGGTCCGTAGAGTTCGGTCCATGCAGGCAGATGGAGGATCCCTCTAGCAGCGTTAGCAGCGTTAGCAGCATTAGCAGCGTTAGCAGCGTTAGCGGATACACTGGCTCACAGATCTTAGGTCAGTCTGAATGGACTGCACTACAATCATCCCCTGAACTTTCATCTAAGGAGTAAATTACAAACACTTTTAGTAGTTTGAAAAAAAATCTACATTTTCTTTATGATGGAAATTTCCTTTTAACAATAAAGACGTGAGCCCACTAGAAGTGAGGAAAAGGACCGATCCAACTTTGATAGCGGTCTGTGGTTCTAGGTGGTCTCAGACATCACAAGTACAAGTTTGTAAGACAGTAGCATGACCAGACATCCCCGATTTTCAAGAACAGTCCCCGTTTTGGACGACCTGTCCCGTGCTAAGCTGTCCCCGAAAATGTCCCCCGATTTGAGCATTTTATGAACGAGATAAAAAAGTTGCATGTAGACTGTTATTAATGTAGCCAGGTGTGCGACATAGTAAGTTGCACGCAACAACTGCTGTTACTGTAGCAGCTGGTGGCGCCGTCTCACTGCAGCGACGGCGCCACCAGCTGCACGACGTCTGTAACGTCAGCACGCCGCTGACGTTACAGACAGAGAAGAAGAAGAGCCGCGGGCTGCCTTTAAAACAGAAGAAGAAGAAGCACAGCGCGAGTTTGTCAACACCAACGGGGAGCTCTCCTGTGATGGTATGTATGAACGGACTTATTATTTTTTAACTGGGCTGGTCCTTGCCGTGATAAGTTTTGTTTGCAGCAGGAACTGTTTCTAGTGTTGTCAGCTGTGTCCAGGTAAAATAAATAAATTAATAGGGCTGAGATGTGTTTAGTTTTACTAAAGATGAGGGCCCAAATCAAGCTTTTATTAAAAGCTCAACAAAAGGCAAGAAGAGAGATCGCACAGGGAGTAACTGCAGCTCGAGTGAGAAAGAGGGGAGAAATCGTAACAGGATGATGAACTGCCTTCTAAGTGACGCTACTTTTAGACTGGACGTGTTGAATATTGCGTGAGGGTGCACGTGCCAAGGGTTCATCCAAAGTAAGATGTTTTAGAATAGATTGGTGACTTTGGTTTATATGTTCAGAGCTAGTTATGAGTTGTTTTGCTAATATATTAAAATTCAAATCAATCTGCTGGCTCCTCAGATAAATAGTGTTAACTTACTTATATGAATGTTTCTGCTCAGTCCCCTGTTGCAGCGTGAGCTGTTCCGGGCCTCGAGCTGCTGCAGCTGGCTGTCGCTAGCTGTGGGCCTCAGGTCTCATCTCGGACCCCAGGCCCACCTCCAGCTCACGCGGCTCCCGGCTCGGACCTCCCTCAGAAGTAGTAACTCACACTATCTCAATAAATCAAGGAAACATGAATTAAGTTTTATCAATTGTATTAAATCAAGGCAGGAGAAAATGAGAGTTTACAGCGCTGGCCTCTCCAATACAATTCAACACGAGTTCTTGGACCGGAAGGGCCGGATGTCACATGGCATTACAAATACATAGGGCCTAGGCTCCACCTTCACATCTGGGAGCACAGTGTCTCACATGGAGAAGAAGGGGCGGTCTAAGTGTGATCTCATTGGATCTCATGTGGTCTGACGTGTCAGGAAAAAATGATACGGTGCACAAGGCCTCTCTACATGATGCGGCAAGCCAATAAAGAAATAACCAAATAAATAAAAATCTATTCCTTGACAGATATTGAGTCCCTGGGAGACTCTTTTTAAGAGTTGCTGGCCCCATTTAAACCAGTCAGAACCTGGTCGTAATTTCATTACAATCTGTCTCTGAGCGGATCAAAAACCAGTCTAGATAAAATACTAACACCCCTGAGATGACTGCTGTTGTAACTTGGAGCTATATAAATAAACTGAATTGAATTGAATTGATTTGTGAACATAGACTTTCAGGCTTAGGTGTGTAGTAAAATATTGTGATGAACTGTATGAAATGCAGCACTGAGGTCTACCAGGACCAGTGCAGACACCAGTCCATTGTCTGAGGCCACGAGAACATCATTAGTGACTTTCACCAGTGCTGTTTCTGTGCTATGATGAGCTCTAAATAATTAAAAGTAATGTTAATATTTATTGTTGTGATTATATTATGTCTCTGTTTTAGAGTAGTGGGAGATTTATAGAAGAGGAGAGAGGAGGGAAATAGACTAATAGAAAAAAGAGTTAGAGAAAGAAGAAAAATACAAAGACTGATAGAAAAAAGAGTAAATGAGAGCGGATGAAAATAGAAAGACTGATAGAAAGAAGAATAAAGCAAAGAGAAGGAAAAGAGCAGATGAGTTTTGCAAAGAAAATGGAGGAAAGGAAAGAAGAAAGACGAGGCTGAATGACAAGATGCTCTTTCAAATAAGAGATGTGTCATTTTACTGATAAATTACCAGCAGTTTTCAGTTCTACGTCCTGGTCGGCTCTTCAGGTTGTTGCTCTTCAGTTAATGTTCAAGTTTATGTGTCACATGTTTATGATGTCAAATATTTACAATTAAAGTTCAAGAGATAAACTGATGAAGTGGTTTTACTGGTAACGTATTGAGTGATGTAGTGTGCAGTGTGCACTGCAGAGTGTCTGTGTACTGGTGAGATGTTTCGGCTGGTTCGAGCTGAGAGGACAGAAGTTCTTCCTCTGAGCTGGGCGTCAGGTTCATGTACTTCTCTAACTGCAGCAGTGTGAAGACGCAGTTTTTTGAGTGACAATGAAATAAGTGGAAGAACAAATAAAAATAAAATAATAGGTATTTAATAATATTACTAAATTGTGTTTTATTTCTTATGTTTAAAATGTTTCTCTTTACTATTATCTGTGCTCTTTCAGTTTGGTGCGTAACCTTTTCTGCTCTTCTATTCCAGACCTCCATGGTCACCATCTCTTCAGACAGAGGAGACTTCACAGAACCAGAGATGAGCTCATGTCATTGGACTACATGACCTTCACTCACCTCACACATACACACAATATAAATACACTTCAGCTACGTAACCATACACTGTGTACTTATACACATCTATGTAAGTACATACATGTTCTCATTCACTCACAAGGTATGCACGCTCACTTACTAGTATATACCCTTGACCACCCCCCAGTTTTAGTACTCTATTACTACTACTATTACTTTATTCATTTTATTATTCTTAGGAAATGTTAACCGTGTGGAGAGACACATTCCTGCCGTGATATTAGATTTTTATTGTTTAAACATGAATAAATATGAAAAAAATAAATGAAACTGTCTGTCCCCATTTTAATTTCATCTTGATAAAATTTCATTCTTTTTTGTCTCCGAACTGAAAATGTCCCCAGATTTCACTTCAGAAATCTGGTCACCTTACAAAACATCTTCATCTTTAAATCACTCCTTGGTCTGATACCTTCATATGTCTCCTCCTACATGTCACGTCGTCAGTGCAGCTACAGCGTGTGCTCTCAAGACATCATTATCTTCAGCGTCTCCTCAGTGCTCACCGAATTTGGCTAAAAGGGGTGTGGCAAGGTGACGCACCTACCTACCGTGTCAAATTCGTTGCATATTGCTTTGTTGTTTTGTATATTTTGTCAAGATATCTGTGGACTGTTGGTGTATGACCGACAGGAACTTATTGCTCTAAATCAACACTTTGAGTCATCCCTAAACCAAAACTTTGAGGATCAAACATTCAGACTCCCTCCTCATCAGGGGCTTTAGCCCAGACCCCTTCTTCATCATCTTCCTTATTTAGAAAGTGCCCCTTCAAGCCTGTCAATTTTTCAGACTATTATTCTTCTATTTAGTTTATTTATCATACGCAGTCACAACTGATTTCTGTCAGCAGTGGAAAATATAATTTATAAAAAACCATATATTGCTGCTATTATATTTACTTTTAAACGTCAACTAAACATACTTTAAGAGTCCAAAAAAGTTCAATCTGGTCCTCTGGACATTCAAAAAAACAAAAAACAAAACAAAGCAAAAAATATAGAAACGTTTCGTCTCTCATCCAAGAGACTTCCTCAGTCTGAGGTGCTGTATACAGCTCAGTCTCTTAAATAGCACCTTCTCAGAGTGGATCAACCAGTTTGCTGCTGACAACCAAAACCAGCTGATCACGTGCTCAAGAAGGACCATCAGCCTAACAATGGATCATTAGCACCTGATGGCTGTTTACTACTCACAGAGGGCTGAGTGATACTAGCAATCACAGCATTGTAAGAGGGGGACAGTTGAACCCGGAGGCCTCCACCCCTGTTTAATGATGGACGATTTCTTTTCACAAAGATGGCCTCCTTTACTCCTCTCTCAAACCATCGTTCCTCTCTGTCCAGGATGTGAACATCTTCATCCTTGAAAGAGTGACCGCTGGCCTGGAGATGAGTGTAGACCGCAGAATCCTGGCCTGATGATGTTGATCTTCTGTGCTGGGCCATCCTTTTGGCC